CAATTTTTTCACAAATCTCCAGAGAGCAGAAGATTTCAGACATGCATTTATTTCATCGGCAGGAGTTGATCGAGGCAATGTTTGTCGAAAATCACCTGATAACAATATCAAGGCAGCACCAAACAGCTGTTGATTTCCGCGTAAATCTTTCATAGTTCGATCCAATGCTTCGAGCGATTTTTTGTTGGTCATTGTCATTCATCCCATGGAATAATCTCTGCTAGCTTCAAGACTTTCCCATTGCAGAATTTCTTGAAATATTGCATGTCGGCGTTTCACTCACTTGCGTGTTCAATGGCAATTTTAATGCAGAGTGTGCTGTTCGTCCTCCGTCCAATAAAGTGGCAGCAATTCCAGAAGAAGCCAGAGCCAAAGCAATTTTTTTCTGTGAACGAATAGCTGCCAGAGTCAATGTAATAATTAATGTTTTTCCGGTTCCACCAGGTGCGTCCAAGAAGTATAATCCGCCAGTATTTTCAGAAACAGCTTAAAAAAGTGATTGATGTACATAGTTTTGTTGATCATTTAGTTTGTCAATATTTGATTGCACAAATTCAATCAATTCGTCACAATGGAATTGTTGTTCACGTTRCAATTCTTCAAATCTGGATTCTTTGACGTACGACGCATCCGAATCAAAATATCTTCCGTCATGTAATCTTGATATTTGTTCCATAATTACAGTATATTCGATGGTATGCATGTTGATACTATAATCGAGAAAAGCATTCTTACTTGGTGTGGTAAAGATGTATCTTGAAGCGACGATTCCAAATGTGAATCGTTTTCCAAAAAATGCAATAGGTGACATGCCACGCGATACGTTTAACATAAATTACCATCAACTATTTTCAAATATTCGAACGATATCGGTCCTTGAACGTTCACCAATAGCAATCGCAAATAAAAACATTCCGGGTTGTTGGGATGAATCGTATACATTCTGCCCAAGGCATCTGTTGAATATATACCTGGGTGACCATCAACTGCTGTACCCTGTTTACGTCTTTGGAATTCTTTTGATGATACATGAGTATATAGCAAACTTCTGGCAAATGTATAGGTTTCACAAAGTCGGAAAAAAGCAGTTAAAGTAGTCGCTGGTGGTTGTGCTGCTCTCTGCTGTATATTTTCAGTAGTAAAATAAACACGTTGACCATTTTCAAGATGCACCGCTAGATGAACAACAACAGGATGTCTTTCGTGCAATGGAAACGAAAATATTCGCCAAATTGCTTCATTGCTGCTAACGTATCGGYCCATTTGRTATHGAGTAATTTCATCGTTCCTATTGTCAGCAWCAGGTACTTCAAAGACAGCCATATCACTTCYTTTATTYACATAYTTGCAAATGTATTTGATTGACTWRAWGRAATTACAATACTCAACGTTAATGTGAAACTGAAATATTTTTGACAGAAGTTATGGATATGGCAAAACTCAGCGATTATCGACGATGATTTCTTGATGACGAATGTTCATCATTACTCATTGACCGTTATCTTCAGTAGACCGTCGTCGATACAACGGGTATCCATCATTGCCTGTTATTGTGTCGGAAGTCAATGCTCTGGGATAACGCTTTGACCATTTGCCATCAATCATGCATCGTGAATTCATATTTAGTACGCCACATGGGCCATGAATCATATGTTTTGTGACGACTTCAAATAATTCTTGATCAATTGTTTGATCTGGTATCTCGGCTGATATGATATTATCAATTTCATCTGGTGTGATTTTACGAACCAACCATATCAATATATGTGCGTGCGGCAATCCTCTCTTTTGCCATTCGATTGAATACATATAACACCGCACTTCTCCAAATATGCGCAATTTCACTATTACATCCATCAGCGCTTTTAATTTTTGCCGAGAAATACGTGCATTTATATCGTGATGATCTGTTGTTGATTGGCCCTCAAACAAATTATTTTGAATATCGCTCCACTTCGGATTACATGTGAATGTAATAAATAAATCTGGTCAGCCGTATTTTCTCACGCATGATATCGCATCTTGAGCATATTCGTACATATGGCGAGGGCTTCCAATATAAGATGCTGGTAATATCGTCGACATCCAATATCATTCAAATTCCSATCATTTGTTATTGCATTACGCAAATGTATGTATTCTTCTGATCGCAATTTACTTTGATTGAACCGGATGTAATTGAGACGTTCAGTATTGTATTGATGAAACAGTTTTCCACATCTCAAAATGTAATTTGAACGTCCTTCTTGAATCATTAATCTATATGAATAATAATTAATGGCTTTTTTTTAAACGAAATATTTATGAGAACGATACATATTATGTACCTGTGCTTGGATTAATCATTGGCATATTTATATGGTATCCATCATGGCCATTCCAGTGCAATATAGGATACTGTAATGCATCGTAAGAACGATGAAGCCCCGAAACACGTTGTAATTGTTCATTTCTACGGTGAAGAATAATATTGATTGAAACTGATCGCCAACAATCACAATGGCCACTTCATCAATGGTTGGTGCATTGAATCTTCTTGAATGCTCTCCAGTTGGAGTTTTATCGGCTCTTATAACGATTCTGTGATTATCAGATGGCAACCGATCCATAGCAGCTTTGAACAATTGGACTAATTCATTGTGCTGATGAAAAAAATCTTGTAGTTCGCAAAGAATTTCTCTTTTTGTGTGAGAACCAATTGTGCAGCATTGATTTAATTCACGATTTTTATCTCCGATGAAATATATTTTTAAAAATTGATGGCTATCGTCGGGGAGCGGTAACAATGAACCCGCTAGGTGATAAATTTGGCCTTGGATCTGTAATATGTATGCAATGTTATAGGAATAAATTTTTCCCTATTCATTGAAAAAACCATCAAATATTCAATGCAATCACCTTAAATGTCGGCATAAATTGATCTCTTATAATTTTTGTAGCGCACAAAGAAGTCATTTGAAAAGACGAATTGTAATGTAAATGTAAAAGTTTCGATYCTGGCGATGTCTCAAAAATTAATGATTGTAATGGTTCAGGAGGCGGTTCAACTTCCGGCAATTTTACTTTCCCGTTAGCGCAACATATTCCAGACGTTTCACCCGAGAATTTAGCCGCTTCACAATGTGTGCATACAACATCCATCATTCCAATATATTCATGTACATTATAGTCGATTGAAGAGTCGTAATCAAATGCAGCACGGAACATATCTTCCAAAACACGACGTCGTATTCGTGTAGGTCTTGCTGGATTTCTTGCATGATGAGCTTCTTCAAATCTATTTCGTGGACGTCGCACTGCACTTTGTACGTTGAGTACGTCGACCTATGTTTGATTTTGGACGTACCGGCATTTTCTTTAAAATAATTTCTTATATGATCACCTCGTTTGAAACACACATAAATTTTCACTGAATAATTTTCAATAATTATTCTTTAAAAAAGCAAAATATTGAAAAACAAAACAAAAAAAAAGTGTGTGTGCTTATGACCACACGACAGAAGTGAAAACTTCACCAGGGCAAGATTAATACTACGAAATACAAGTTTTTTTTTGTTCTATATTCATAAAGTAATAATATTTATGATTCATATAATTGATATTTGTGAA